ATCCACAAGTCAGGAAAAGAAGAAAATATCAGAGTGGATGTCAGAAGAGACTCTGAAATATGCGCACTTAGTAGTACTCTACGGGAATATGAGCCAACCCATGAAGAAACACAAATACAGGTCACAGTGAGTTCAACGCTATGGAAGAAAATATGTCACAGACCTATGGGGGCTGTTTTTATCCTGAACAAATGCGTTCATTCTGGGTTACCAGCAACTATTATTATTTTTAAAACTTAGCAACATATCACCTTTCAATGTTTTTGTCTTCTTCCTCACGTTTCAGTAAGTATAGCATCGACCACAGTCTGCCAGACCCATCGCCCACTGTGCCCTTTTCCAAGTCAACCATGTACATCAGAGCCTACCACTAATTTCTCCTCTGTCAGCCAGCACCCAGGCCACTTCGTCCTTCACGGGAACAGTGCCTGTCGTTCTGCCATTGTTTGGGAATCCCTAGACTCTTTGATTTCTGTATCCCTTTTTATTGAACCACCAAGTAATTTACCTAAAACAACAAGGGAGACACGGGGAAAGAAACCCCCAGATTCCTCTGAGCCTTGCCCTCTCAGCAGGCCTAGGAACAAAATGCATATTGGCTTTGTATTTATTACCCAACAGAAAATCAACCAATCCATCGTCAGCCAGTCGATGGTTTGAATCTCTCTCTTTCTGCCTCTTCCTCTTTGTTTCAGTGAATTGCCATCAAGAACGATGAGATGGCATTGTCTTGAGGAGATTAAAGAAGGAGTGGTATTCAAATAATAAAGGGAGGAGGAGAAAAAGAAACACCCACCCCCATCCCCCCAGAGCTACATTGCCAAATTGTAAGAGTGACCGCTGACTTTATTCAACTTGTTGAACTTTCAAAGGGAGGGAGATTTTCCTAGATAACATATACCTCCCAGAATTTCAAGTTCACAGTAAAGGAATGTGGCGTGTACTTTCTAACTCATCAGAGACTGACCTCATTTTGGTGCAATGTGACACTTGATGAAGGGGGGGGAGGGGAAGAACCTGTCCTTACCACTGGCAAGCTCCAGGCCTGAGGTGCATGCCAACAAGCCTTCTCTGGAGGTGAGTCAAGGTGGACACATGAAATAATCTGTTTAACACACCCACAAAGCTTTTCATGGTCAGATCTCAAGGAGCTTTCTAACATCCTATTCATAAAGCTTCATAAGCTCTGAATGGCTGGCACCATCACAGCTCGACCAGAGGCTAGTGTTGGGAAGGATGCCGTTAGATGGTGTGGTTTAACACAAGCTAGCTTTTCAACTATCCAGGGGTTGAATGTTTATGCACCCACAAAAAGTGAGGGCACCATGAAGTCAGGGGCACTCTCAATCACTGATGAAACCTACGAGCTGTGACTAGGGACAAGAACGGGCAGAGAAAAGGATGATCTCATTGCTGAAACCCAAGAGAGCTCTGGATGGGTCTACTAGGACAAAAGGTAATTTGCTCTCTTTAAAGAAGGACTCCTCCCACGTTAACCCCTTCCTCTGTTGTGAAATAAAATTATCCGGTTTAAAAAAAAGTCTGTAAAGAAAAAAAAAAGTCTTCGTATGAAATAACAAATAAATGAAATTGACAGCAATCACAGTGAGAAGACATAGCTCAGAAAACAGAGATCAAGGGAAGGAAATATTTTGAGGAAGTCTGTAACCTTTTCCAGACAAAATTAGCCAGTCAACAATTTCTTACTTGGAATCATTTGACTCCCGGGGAGCCTGATTTGCTATGAAGGTAAGGTGCTCAATCTTCACGAAGAAAAGAAGATGATTTTCCAGCAAGAGAATGCACTGCAGGTAATATTGAGAGTTGAGGCAGAAAGAATAGGAGTCCTAAGAGTTTGTTACAAGACGTGGATTTTCCTCTGAGACGTAGTCATTGAAAAGACATGATAACGGAAGGATCTTCAGGGTGAAGCTCACCTAATCACATTTGTACCCTGACTGGCTCAGTGCCGGACAAGTTCAGCTTTGGAAAGCCTCAATGTCCCCATATGTAAATGAGAATAATAATATCTACCCTTATGGGGTTGCCAGAATAGTAAATGAAAAAAAAAAAGTTTAACGTGGTTAAGATGCTTCCACCATTTGCTCATACATTGTATTCTTATCATTTCTGCTCTGTTGTTACTGAGTGCCATTGGCTTGATTCCGACTCCTGGTGAACGTTTGGGGCAGCGTCTAAGAGTCCTGTGGGCTGCCGTCGGCTGCCGTGGGCTGTGACGTTTACAGGGGCAGATTGCCCAGTCTCTTCTGCAGAGCGCTTTAAACCACGACCTTTTGGTTAGTGGCTCAGCATTTAATGATGGTGCATCCTTAGCCTGCATCCATCTCAAGCCTTTGAAACCTTTGCGGCACCTATCACCTTCCTGTCTGGAGGTGATCATGAGCATTCCTCATTCCCACATGGCAAACTTGCTCACAAAGGACTGCCAGGAGACACAAATTAAAAGAGGGGCAGTTTCTACTGGAAGTAGGTTCTAGGATCATTGCTTCCCCCTCCCAGGCCCATCTCTGCCCTAGGAAGTCTTTCTCCTTATTATTACTATAGTTATTCTTCACTGGCAAATCAGAGGGAGCAAATCTGGGGTTAATTTAAAATACCACAAAACCATGCTAGCTCTCAAAGTAGCTCAGGTAGATATCTGTCCGTCGATATAAGGAGTTTACTACTACTTGAGGTGTTCTAGCAGATAGTGAATTTAATACATCGTTAAAAATCATATGAAATACAATATGCTTTTGAATTACCTCATTTAGTCCTTACCATAACTCTATAAATGTTGTATTTGCCTCCCACATGTGAAAGATTTAGCTGTTAATGTCTACGTGCTTGGACCACCTAAAACAGGACATGACCATCTTTGGGGACTACTGAACAGAGTGACACAGTGGGTCCAACTAGCATGAATTAGTTCTGTCATGACTGACTTCATAAACTATAGGTACACTGTACAAATATTCTCGATTGGGCTGTAGACAAGGTGGTATATACTCATATAACTTAATGACCACCAGCAGAGCCTCTCCATCTTCCAGAATGCTATCCTAATTTCTAGAAGTATGATTACTTTCTCAAATAGACTTTGTTTGATTTCAAATCTTATGTCTAATATAGCATCATTTCTGTGTCTTTCCAATTTTACTGATACCAATTCAGTGAGGGAAAAAAGAGGGTTGTCAGTCAAAATCTCCTTTTCTCAGCTAAATTTCTGAGGTTTACTGTATGCATTCACATGCAAAATGTGAAGGCCATACCATGAGTGCTATTTAATTCTTAGAATAATCTGATAGAATTCATAATGTTATTATTCTTACATATGAAGGGATGGAGGTACAGAGAGCTATAATGTTGTTGAAACACATAGATATAAAGCTAGAGCTGAGAATAAACAGCAAATCTACTTCCCTGCAGATGATGCACTCTTAATCCCTATACTTTATAGTACTGTATTCAGTGGGTAGTTTATCTGAAGTGAAATAAAGTTTATTGGTATACTAATACTACAAGTCTCTACTAAGGGCATATCTGTGCAAAAATATGTGTCAAAGAATGATTAGCAAACTCAAAATTGGCATTTTCATATATTTTTGATCCAATGTGAATGCTGTATCTTTATTGAATTATGGGCTGCATCTTCTCCAATGTTTAGGATTAATGGTATGTGCCATTTCCATCATGGACACATAAAAATACAAGATGCAAAAATGAGGAGCTGATGCCAAGGGCTTAGGTGGAGAGGAAATGTTTTGAGAATGATGAGGGCAATGAATGTACAAATGTGTTTTACACAATTGGTGTATGTATGGATTGTGATAAGAGTTGTATGAGCCCTCAATAAAATGATGAAAAAATATAAGATGATTATATTCCAAAGTATGTTGAAATGTTATAAGTCTAGCATGGAAAAAGGTGGTTGGGTGCTAATTGTTAAGCATTCCATGAGCTGAGAAGTTAATATTTCTAAATCTCCCAGGGCACTTCAGTAGATAGGCCTGGTAATCTGGTTACAAAGCGTCACATCCTTAAAAGACCTCCTTCTATGCTGTGCACTGGGGTCGCCAAGAGACAGAATTTACTCAATACTAGTGACAGAAACACAATGCGATTGAATCTTTAGTTTCCTTTTCCCTTTGAAGCCCACTGGCTCTCAAAATTGTACTAACTTAATTATTTGCCACTCATTCTAACCTCAATTATAAAAATGTAACACCTACCTCCTTTGTTACAAAAATTCACAACACAACATACTTTATGTATAGAAAATATTATAATTTAGTTAATTTGTGGATAATTAAGAAAGAGGGTGGAAAAGAGAACTGAGAAAAACGGTAAATCTGAGAAACAGAAAAGCACAGATAAATCAAGAGGAACACTGAGTGAAACACCATTCAACAAATTATTTAAACACCAGTCAACAACAACAACAACAACACACACACACACACACACACCATAGATTCCTTTTAGAAATAGAAAGATAATATCTATTTGGTATAAAAAACATTATTAAATACTGAAGAAAGTTTGCCCGGGACAATGATATTTCCCCTTTTTAAGATATTGAGATTTTCACCACCCCCCACATACTCTATTGGCTTTTGACAGAAGGTCAAGGGAAATTAAAGAGAGGTTCCATTTCATTCAAAATGAATATGAATGGTGACGTCCTGATCATCAACGTTTCGGTCAAAGTACAAGACTGTTGTAAATGATCACTTATAACTTCTTATTTAAATAACCATTCTGCCTTCAAACTGGATATCAAACAGAATTTTAACTCATTAATTTTACACTCGTCCAGTTTTCATTACTTTGGGTTGCTCTGCATTGATCTTGTGCATCTTTTCAAACCTAAGTTCTTAAGACAAAGACACACAGTCACCCCCAGGGTTCTTAGGATTCACTTCCGCCTGTACTCCCCTACACAAATCCAGTGACAATTGACTGTCGCTGGGGGACATCGGCCGTGAGATCCGTCGTACCTGTTGTTTGTCCAGGCGCATTCTCTTGGCCGCATTTCGACTCTCGCTCTCACAGGCTGAAGCCAAGATACTCTCAGCCACTGCTGAAGTAAGGTGGGAAGGAATAGGTCGAGACTAAAAAAGAAGAGAAAAAAAGATAGGAAAATTATTAACAGTATCATTAACGGAACACTGCTATTCTCAGAAGCGCTCACAGGACCACCAATGCGTGCAAGAAGAATCGTTGATTTCAACTGAACTTATTTCAATTCAGGGAGGAAATGGAAATTGTAAGATGAAAATGAAAACTAGTTAGAGGTTAAAACTGTGGTTGCTGCACAAAGTCATCATCCACCCCACAGTTCCATTCTTAAAACGAGTTCATTTGGGCCAGTAAGCGGAGCTGACTGAATTCTGCAAATCAAAATCAAAACCCTACCATGACTGCAGGACATGTAACGAAAACTCACTACCGCTGAGTTGACTGCAACTCAGGGTGACCCGATAGAACAGGTAGAACTGTTGTGGGGGCTCTGAGACTACTTCTCTATGGGAGCTGACATCCTCATCTTTCTCCCGCAGAGAAGCTGTTGGTTTTGAACCACCAACCTTTTGATTAGCAGCGCAGTGCATGGTAGCCCACTATGCCACCTAGCATCGTGCTGTTTTTAACTGCCGCCAGCTCTCCCGGTCAGTTCTTCCTGATTCAGCTATAGTTGATGAAGTGAAATTGGGGTGGACTGTAATTTGCAAACTATGGATGTCTGCACAGTAACAGATAACCAGAATGGGGGTGAGGGGGGGGATATGAGGCAATGACCTGCTCGACTCTCACTCTCCCTCTCAGAGAAGAAGGGCAGCATGTGTGTTGCATAGCAACCAAATCACCTGCATGGCATGCCTTGCTCAAAAATGGCAGCCACGTGTTGCTTTGGACAAAAATCCCATCCCACAGCAGGACTTCTGAGTCTCCCATTCCAGGGTTTGGCCCATGGTACTTCCCAGGCAGGTGATTCTTCCAGCTGCCTACACTTGCCAAATTATGATTGGTCCCAGTGTCCATGCCGTCAGCCAAGACTGAAGCAGTTCAACCTGATCTGAAGCTTTGACAAACACAACGCAACACAACACAACAAAAATGAGTGGCAGGGATGGAACATAATTGTAAAAACCAACAGATACTCAAACCCTTTCAGACAGTTCTTCTGTGAAATAAGAGTATTTACAGTGTAAGCTCTAATGGATTTGGGGTGATTAAAATGCTTTAAAAATAACTGCGTTCATAAATTAAAGTAATCTGCCCGAGGGCAATTTTAATTTACCAAAAGTTTGGTATTTTAGATGTGAGGCCTCAGTGTGTGCATGTGGTGTTTGCCTATGTCTGTGTGCTGCATACAAATGTTTTGTCCCCTTTTCTAAAATATCAGTAATGTTAGTAGTTTGATAGATAATTGTAAGACCCTATCTTCTATGTAGCCCACACAGAAATTAATTAATCTTCCAACTAAGCTCCTAATTAACTACAAATTGTTTACAACTCTCCATATCATTTGTGATAATCATACAAAATTTTCTATTATTTCTCCCATAATTACATGCAAATCATCTTACTGAAAGATGAAGTGCTTAATGATATTGAGCATTTTAAATTAAGATAAGTAAATGATAGATAAAAAATAACATGAAAATTAAATGAGACAGCAAAATTAGATGAAATTGCAAGAGCAGGGTACCTTTGGGGAAGCCAGCATACACACCGGCATTGCAGCCCTACCGGTTCACTCAAAACCGCAGTGGCAAATGTGTACAGATGTTATTTATTCAAAGCCTCCAAACAACTTAAAAAAAAAAAAGTAAATAACCTTGACCACTCCTTAATGTGCCTGGTTCATTTTGCTGAGGCCTGCATATAGAAGGCACATCTGCAAAGAGAAATTGAACTGTTGACAGAAACAATACACTAGACTAGCTTCCCCTAGACTGTGGTATTTTCACACACAGTTCCCAGTGGAGTTTGTGTAGCGCAGAAAAAGACCACATGTGGGCCTGTTGTCAACTAGGAAGCATTTTCTGAAACTGCCTCAGCACGTTTCCCCATGACATTCACCTCCAAAACAAGCTCTGGAGGCCAGAAGCTAGGACACACATTGGGTAAAATCCTCTCCTAGTTCCCCTGTGAGGTCCCTAAGTGATGCCTAGAAAGCTTGGACAAGAAGGCAAGGCCACTCCTCTCTGGGAGACTATCCAGGACACTTGAAATGTGTGTAAGCAAATGGAAAAGAAGAAAGGCCAGCAAGTGGCAGGGGAGAATGCAAGAAAAGAGTCGTGAGGAGGAAACTACTAGGAGGGCTGTGCCTTAAGAACAGAGAAGAAGATCAAATGAACTCAACCTTTAAAAATATTTTAAAAGAGAGGAATATAATTTCAAGATTCATGCTATTTCTTTGTTTCATTTTCTAGTTCATTAATATTGAATAAAGTAGCCCAGATCCAAATAAACTATTAAGCTACAAAGTAAGTATCTCTTTAAAATATGGCTACTGCTTGCTGCAAAATGATAATCTATACCATATAGAAACGGGGTACATAGGTAATGACATCTGTAATAAATTGAATTGAGTGCCTCAAAATTTGCATTGGATTTCTAACCCCTAGTGCGTAGGAACATGACTTGCTTGGAATAAGTCTCTGAAGATATTAGTAGTGCAGTAACAGGAGAGTAAGTTATTCACCTGAGTGATGTCCCATAAAAAAGGGAAGAATGACGGAGATGGGCCTAGGGAAAGTGGTCATGTGACAAGGAAGCTATACTGCAGTTGCAAGATATGGAACACCTGCAGCTACCAGAAGCTGGAAAACACAGACAGTTCTATTTCCCCAAAGCCTAGCAGAGAACACGGACTGCCAACACCCTAAATTTGAATAACAGCCTCCAGGTCTGAGAGGCAATGCATTTCTGTTCTTAAAAGTCACCCAATTTGTGGCAATTTGTGATAGAAGATCAAGGAAATGAATATGGCTTTGGTACAGGAAAGAGAGGTGCTGGTGTAACAAAGGCTAAAAGCGTGGCACATCTTTGGAGTTGGGTAATGGATGGAGGCTGGCAGCCATTTGAAGTGTTTCATAGGCTAAAACCTTGGTTACTCAAAGAGGGTGTTGGTAGAGTTATGAACTTCAAAGGCATTCTGATAAGGGATAAAAGTGAAGTGAGGAAAATTATCTAGAAAGTGTCTATCACCTTAGAGAATATATAATATCATTGTGTAGGTAGAAATGTGGACATAAGATGAGTTTCTCAGGAAGATTTAAAAGGGAATGGTGAACATGCTACTGGAGGATGGAGAAAAGAATACATTGTTCTAAACTGCCTATGACTGAGCCTCAATTATGTTGGGATATTTTGTGGTGGGTAGCAGAACTTTCAAATGATATGTTTAAAAGTTTGCTGAGGAGATTTCTAAGCAATGTGTGGAAGGTGCAGTCAGGTCTCTTCTTGTTTGTAGTCATATACAAGAAAAAAGACACAAATTGAGGAATGATTTGTGCCTCCACTAAATAAAAGTTGGAAAACGTCATTTCATGTAGAAATCAAGGAAGCATGCTCCTGAGAGAATATCAAGGGGAGGTTGGACAACTCTTTGCTAAAGCTATTCATTGCTCGTGTGTGGAATTAACCCTTATCTCAGCAGAAACACTGTCATATCAAACTGAGAGAACCAAACCAAAGTCCAAGCAAATCCATGACCATGGACTCACTTCTGACTCATATCAACTCTATAGGACAAGGTACAACCCCCAGACAGTTTTTCCAAACTATTTACAGGAATAGAAATTCTTGTCATTCTCACAAGGAGTGGTTGTTGGTTTCAAACTGCTGACCTTGTGGTAAGTAGCCCAAGGTCTAACTACTTCACCACCAAACCAAACCAAACTCATTGCCACACAGTCCAAGCTGACTCATAGAGACTCCCTGTTGGTTGCTGAGTTTGCAACTATTTACAGGAGTAGAAAGACCAGTCTTTCTCCCTTGGAGCTGCTGGTGGTTTCGAACTGCCCAACCATCAAGATGGCAGCCCAACTCGTAACCACTACACCACCAGTGCTCCTGAGCGACTGCCTGCTTGATTGCAGCACAGTCACCTGCTTGATTCCAGGGGCTGGGGCCTTCACTCTGTAGGCCAGGACCTTTAACCCCCACAGCATGTGGGCCCAGAGGGCTAGGAGGTCAGAGCATGCAGTCATAAAGGCTTATTCCAAGACCAGGATACTTAGTAGAATTAGCCCTGCTGCGTTTTCTACTTCTTTGGTCCTGTTACTGCCATTTCCTTCCAATTTCTGCCTTCAGGAATGGCATTGTCAATCCTATGCCTGTCCCACCATTATATATATACATACATATATTACTGTGAATTAGATGGAGGTCCACATTTTAGATAATCAATTTTGTACTCAACAATTTAAGCTACTTAGCAACCTTCCAAGAGTGCAACCTTGATTTTATTTGTTTATAGCAAATGCCTTTTTTTTTTTCAACACAAAAGGCCACGATACACATGGAATTCTCGATGGAATATACAGAAATCAAATTGACTACATCTATGGAAAGAGACAGTGGAGAAGCTCAATATTTTCAGTTAAAAGCAGACCAGTGGCTGATTGTGGAACAGACCATGAAATGCGCGTATATAAGATCAGAACAAAGCTGAAGAAAATCAAAACAAGTCCACGAGAGCCAAAATATGACCTTGAGTTTATAACGCTGAATTTTTAAAAACATCTTAAGAAGAGGTATGATGCATTGAATGCAAATGACAGAAGACTTCATAAGGTTTGGGAGGTCATTAATAACATCATTCATGAAGAACTCAAAAAGTCATTTAAAAGACAGGCAAAAAAGAAAAGATCAAAGCAGATGTTAGAAGACAGTATGAAACTTGCTCCTAATAGTAGAGTAGCTAAAGCAAATAGTAGAAATGATGAAGTCAAAGAAGCGAGTAGAAAATGCGAAAGGGCAGCTCAAGAAGACAAACCCAAATATTGTAATGAAATGCGTGAAGGCCTAGAATTAGAAAGCCAAAGCGGGAAGAACACCCTCAGCTTATCTTAAATTGAATCAACTCTAGAAAAAAACCTCA